CAAAGTTCGATTACATTCCGATTCCATTTCCTACAAACACATTTTTCCAACAATCTAGACGCGCAACAGGGGTCGGCTTGAACGCAGCACTGGCGACTGCAGATGGAGGAGGTGGCTGCGGATGAAGGAGGAACAAGAGAGCTCAAAAAAGGGTGGCAGATTTTTAATTTTTTTATTTGCTTGTCACGTTATGGACACGCGTCTATAAGTGATTGGATTTCGGTATTGAAATGCTTGCTACGTCAGCCTATGATGTGGTACTACGCAACTGCTAAATACTTTCTCGGGAGATGGACTGATAGCGTCTTTGTGATTGTATTTGTATCACTTGAGCTTGATACTTATTTTTCTCACTTGAATTCTTATGATGCTTTCAACGATTCATAGTCATCAAGACATGAAAAATGTGGGCACTCTGGAGAGTATAAACAATCTTTGTTGCTCTGCTTAGCTGCGCATAATGGGTTGACACGGGGGACAGAAAAATGACAGCAGAAAAGTAAAAAAAAATAGATTAGGCCCGTTCTGTAAATCGACCTGTTTGGTACTAGAAACTAGAAACTAGCCCTGATAAGTTAGTTCCTATCCACTTTAGAACCGATCACTCCTAATTGACACTTAAGAGGGATGCCTCATACCATTCACAATATAACGTTTTAGGACCGGTCAGAACAGATCCTGTAAATACAAGTGAATAGGGACTGAACTTTGAGAATAACTATTAGGGGTGGGATAGTCGCTCCTGTTAGATATATTGTATATATTAAGTTATAGGGTTAATACCATGAAAAACCCCAAACTTGTATACTTGTGACAAATTTACCCCAAACTAATTTTTTGACCACAAAAAACTCTAAACTAGTATACCTGTAACAAATTTACCCTTAGTTTATTTCCGTTAAATTTTACTGTCAAATTGCTTTGTTAAATGGCATGCGGCAGTTAACAGATATATCGATTTTATGTTTTACCCTCCGTTTGTCCCAGATGTATTAGTTTATGATTTTTTTTGTATTAATCCAGTTTAACGAAAACTAACAGAGGGTAAATTTGTCATAAATGTACCAATTTGGGGTTTTTGGTAATCAAAAAATTAGTTTGGAGTAAAATTGTCACAAGTGTACCCGTTTGGGGTTTTTGATGGTCAAAAAATTAGTTTGGAGTAAATTTGTCACATGTGTATCAGATTTGGGGTTTTCGTAGTATTAACCCTAGGTTATATTGTATATCTTAGGGTTGAATGTATTTACGCTTATACCCTTCCTTGTATCTATATATTGGCCTTGTGCCTAATGAGAAATGTATCCATTCTAATTATCTAAACCTAACATGGTATCAGAGTTAGGGTTTTGCTTCTTGTAATTACTGTACACCAATTATGGCATTCCAGGCACGCCCCTTCCTAAGAGTCATTCTAACCTTACGAGTATAAGAATTCGCATGTAGAAGACGCTTCTCCTTAAGAACAACATTTATAACATGAATTATAATTAAGGAAAGTCTACTACTATAATTGATAGTACAGAAACTAAACTTCAAGCTTCTTCTTATTTATAAGCATAGGGTGATACAACAGTGAGTTTACATTTAGAAGGTTAACTGTAGGACTACTCCCTACCCGGTCTATCTACATGTACCCAACACTTACGTCAATCAAAATGGATCACCCTCCACACAACTCTGTCCAAAACATCAGTCATGCTAAAAAATGGTACTTCCCTGCTCCTCCCTCTCCAAGTCACTCCACTTCGCTGTCCCCGTCGTAAGCTCTATCCCCGTTGAAGTTGGGTAATGTCCTATCAATTGCCCACCCACTCGGGCAAAAACTGCTACAAACCCCATGAGAATAGGGTCCACTGGAGACCCAATGTCGACAGTTAAAATCAAGATGCAGCTCATGAACATCACATGTGGAAAATCCGGGTCCTGGAACTCCGTTAAATAGGCCGAGAAATCTATAGGGACACCATAGCTAATAAAGGACGAGGCAGGGAGGATCGGTATCTCAACTAGTCTGAAAAAGTTTAACCACTACAAGAATGAGCAATAGCTTAGCGGTGCAATGTCTATTAACCTATACCAAACAAAAATAACATGCATATCAATAGGCAAATGTATGACAGTCTTCCATCTGGATTTACTAATCAAACAAAACGCACGTCAATGTTCCATATCAGGAACTAACTCAAATGCGATACTTTAACCCCACAATTACAATAGCACGATTCAAACATACACACATATTCGACCAAAAAATAAAAACATACACACATAACTTCACACTTGCATGGGTATCATTATCTCACTCCAAGTCATAAGCTTGGTGCGCTCACCTGTCACGCAAGGAGGAAAACTCCTGTTTGACGGGGTTTGGTGCACACTCCGATCTACCGCGATGTACGCCAGAATTCTCAATGGCCCATGCAGGCTTCGTGATCCATTGACCACGGCATCCTGATCAAACTCCCGGGGTATCTAAAGGAATCCTCCTAGGCAACCGGTTCCCATAACCGGGCATCCCGCTTTCCCTTCGGCACCTCGGGGCATCGTTGGTTCACTGACCGACGACATTCAATAACTTAGCAAGCCCATACACATAATCAACTCATACAGTGCACATATCACCAACAGCAATCTATCTTTCAATGTCGCATAGACACCAACACAACAATCAATCCTTTGTAGCATCGCTTGCCAGTTCCAGGCTTGTTTATGAACTTGGCCTCACTTGCCCATCATTTGACATCCAATCAAGGTCTATCATATTTTATTTGAAAGCTCAGAATGTTTAGACTCTATCTCTAGAAGATATCCAATTGAGATTCCCATGTTTTCACATAGAAAATAATGAATCTTTGAAAAAAAAAGTAAAACTGGTAGTTTCGCACCATTTTTGAAATCAGCTTAAAATAATTAGTGAATGAACTCTAAAAATTATAAATTTTAAATATGTCATAGAGGACACCTTGATAAACAATTTTCATGCAGAACTCAAAGTCTAATTCTTTCTATAAATACCTCATTCGGAAGCATTAAAGTCAGACTAAACACTGTTTATTGGAATAGAATCCTTGCCTCTCAAAATGAGCTCAGTTCAGCACCCAAATCCTCTCTAAAAAATCTCAAATTTAAATATGTTGTAGAGAAAGAAGTTCCCAAGGAATTTTGTGGAGGGAGTTTGTTGGAATCCTTCTAGAAAATTTTATAAAAATTCAAGAACGTGAAAAGGTCCCTGAAACAGAGCACTCGGACATTGTAGCACGGGTTGGAGATTGGCCTTCGTGCTACCCAAAACAACTTCAAAAATTCTGAAATTAAAATATGTTATATTCCCAGATGTTTTGAACAACTTTCATGAAGTTTTGCAAAATTTGGACCACATAATTCTCTACAAAATTGGGAAGTAGTAAAGGTCCAGCAAAACCGAGTCTGGAATTCACCACCCAAGTTCAAAAACAACTAAATACTTGATCCCCACGACTTTGGTGTTCAAAAACACCCACAACTAGAAGCTAATTTTTCCTCATCGCCATCTATTTTCATCAATATCCTACACCTACAACCAATTGAACATGCAACCCATTCCAATCTAATATAGGGAGGCAGGATTTCACTTGCCTTAACGACGGCTCACGAGAAAAATTGTCGGAGAAGATGGGGATGTCGCTGTGCTTTCCGGCCCTCTGATCGGGGTTTTCGGCTCATAGCTCGGAGGACTTGTTAGTGCGAGGAACGTTTTGATCTGTCCCGTGGGGGGTTGCTCAGGCGGAATGGCGAATCATGGCTGGTTCGTCGGGGAAAGAAAGGCCGACCAGAAGATGAGAAATTGAGGAGGTAATTCGGTTGTGAAAGGTGAAATGAGAAGGAGAGATCAAATGATCTTCCCCCCCTTCTTCTGCATGTATTAGCGACTGAGTGTGTTGTGGTGTGGGCGTGAGAGTTGGACGATTAGCAAGGGAGCGCTACAAAAAAACAAGGGATTAGCGACGAATTTTGTGACGAAAAATTAGGCAAAATTTGTCGCAAATCGAATTTGCGACGAAATTAGTGACAGAAAAAATTCCGTCGCTAATAGGGCGTCGCAAAATTTTGCGACGGAAACAAATTCGTCGCAAATTAGCCACGAACACTATCCGTCGCAAAATTCGTCGCAAATAATTCGCCGCAAAATTCGTCGGAAATTTCGTCGAAAAATTCGTCGTAAATTTCGTCGCAAATTTCGTCGCAAAATTAGTCGCAAATTTCGTTGCAAATTTAGTCGCAAAATTCGTCGCAAAATTCGAATTTAAAAAAATGAGGTTTTAGCGACGAATTTTGCAACGAAAAATTTGGCAAAATTCGTCGCTAAACGAATTTGCGACGAAAAAAATTCCGTCGCTAATTCGGCATCGCAAAATGTAGCGACGAAAAATATCAATTTTCGTAGCTAATTTGCGACGAAATATATTCGTCGCAAAATTCATCGCAAAAGTCGTCGCTAATTATTCGTCACAAAATTCGTCGCCAAATTCGTGGCAAATTATTCGTCGCAAAATTCGTCACTAGTTATTCGTCGTAAAATTCGTCACAAAATTCGTTGCAAAATTCGTCGCTAATTATTCGTCGCAAAATTCATCTCTAATTATTTATCGCTAATTTCGACCAAAAAAAAATTCATCGCTAATTTGCCAATTTTTTTTTTCGGGTCCGTAATTTTTTTTTTGGTCAATAATAGCAACGAATTTTTATTAATTATTTAGCGACGAATTTTTATTAATTCTTTAGCGACGAATATTGTTTAGGGACGACTTCGATTTTAAATCTAATTAACAGCAAAATGAATTCCTACAATTTATATTTAACATTGATTAAGCACTTAATAACATCAAAATATTATAATAATATGAAAATGAAATGCATTCATCTGCATTTTCCACAAGAATGACATATATTTTTCTTTATAGTACACATAATGAGAGAATAAATAATCTTTCCTTACCAAAAAAATAAAATAAAATAAATAATCTTGAGCACTTTAAAGCACTTGCTTAAGCAACCTCAGGATGGCAATTCTTTCCAGGGCAGGAACATATTGGGCCAACTGCACTTCTAGCACTGAAGATGCTGAAGCAAAGCTTATCCCCGATATGTATGAAAAGATACTTCCAATCTTGCGCCCACTCTGCTTTCTCCTATAAGGTTTGCATGAAGTGCTTCATCACTTTCTCCAAAGAAGTGACATTCACTTGTTGACATACAATGCGATACTCAAAGTCCCACAAGCCCAGAGAAGAAAGTGAAATACCTACAATTGCCAAAATTTCACATCCAAAATTAAAAGGATTGCACTTAGAACATTTATATATCTTTAGGCCATGAAAGCAATTGCTAGAAATTTCTGGTGACACATTTGCAGTCTAATTGATCCTCTGAAAGAGCAAATTAAGAAGCCTAGATTAATGGACCTACCAATCAATATGCACACCGCACAAGGTTAGATTGGCTCTCATTGTACAATGATGTGTAATAATCCTCTTCTCTAATGTCCAATGTATCCCGCCTCAAAGTAACCTGCAGGGAAAGTGAAGAGAGCAGGAAGTGGTGGATTTAAGTTAAAAATCTTCGACATGCCGAATTGCAATTGTACACATATGCAAGAGAACTCACAATTCTAGGTGGAAGTGCAAGATCAGCAGCTCTTCCCTTTTTTGTGCGTCTCAGCAAAATGTTTTTCAAAATTGTGTTTTAGTAATATCATTGCTCGCCTTCTGCCAACGGCATTTCCATGTGCTTGTATAGGATTCGCTATATACTAGATAGAATATATACTCCATATCAGAGTTCAAATGAAAACATTCCATATGATTTGCCCAAAAAAAAAGAGAGAGAGGCCAAAGGACCAATGAAAATGCAACTCACTCGATTCCACCAACAAAAGTGCCATACAGAACTGTGAGAGCATTCAGAACATTGTTTTGAGGAACTGCAAATGAACAACAGACTTACAAAATAGGTAACAAAGGAAAAATACATTCACTGAACTCAGTGCATGCAATCAGCAGGTGAAGCTCTAAGACCAATCGATAAAGTTAATGCAGAAAACAAAGAGTGAGATTGTATTAACTAAGATAATGAAAGTGAAGTCAACCCAGACAACAATTCGAAGAAAACGGACCTGAAAAGTTTATTGCAGGACAATGTGATTGACTACAGAAGGTGAATAACAATTAACCACTCGTATAAAATAGAAACTTACAAGAGAATAGAGCTCCCCAACACGATTTTGAAGAGGTGTTCCACTTAAAGCCCATCTGTATGAAGACTCTAGTCCGAGAACTGCTTTTGCAGTATTACATTGCCTATCTTTGACAAAGTGAGCCTACATTGAATAAAATTGCATAGGCATAAGTGGGAAATGTACATGCAGATGAATGTTCAAAGATCACGAAGCAAATCATACTAAGAGATTCCGGATAGAAGTTTTTTTGATAAATTGTGGAAAAGAACATGCATATACGGTTCCCTAAAAGTAATCAAACCTTCAATCGAAAGGCCTAATCTTACAGAAATTTGTCTTGCCAAGAGCAAATTAATGCATTCATGCGTGGCTTCACCCAGCCAAACAAAATAACGAATCACGTGTTGCCAGCATTAACATATCAAAATCTTTATATCGGTTACAAAGCATTGAACTATGTCAGCACTCATATCACCGCAAGATACTCCCATTCACTCACCTCATCCAAAATAATGCGCTCCCACTTCACTGAGTGTAAAAGCGACTTCCCCACACGATGGCTTTGACCATCCTCCAAATCACTAATGTTCTCTACTGTAGATTCTATCTCTTTGTTGCGTTGCCTGTCTGCCTTTCTTCTTTACTTGCATTGCCTGTCGTGCCAAATTATCCGCCTGCAACAAAAATCAAGAAACTCATCAAACCAAAACGCAACGTCAAACGAACCAAAAAAACATTCCTACAAGCAACCTCAGATCCAGAAGTGGAAAATCTGCCTTTGGGTTTTGATCTCAAGACCGTCGATTTCTTCTCTCAATTTACCCAAAATTCCATCGAAATCGACTCGGAAAACTCACGGTGTTCACGGTGCTCTCGAGATTCTGAGCAGCACCGTAGGCCGAGAAGATGAGTAGGAACCCACAACTCAGGATATGGACATCACGGGCATGGCCTCTCGGAGGCGACGCAGCCGGCGGGGCCTCGGCGGCGACCAGCAGAGCCTCCTCGTCGGAAGCCTCGGCCTCCTCCTCCGGAGCGGCGATCTCTCGGTCCTCTTGCTCCGCCTCCTCCGCCTCTAATTTCTTGGGGAGCTCCTCCTTGCCCTCGACGGGGGGAGGAGCTGCCGCCCCTTCGGGCTCTGCGGCCTCTAGGGCTCCGAAGGCCATGGCGAGGAGTCGCCAAAGGCAGCGCAGGGGGGGAAGGGGTACCGAAAACCCTAGCGAGCGCGAGAGGTTTGGGGGTGTGGGGGAGGGAAGAAGGAGAAGGAGAAGCGGAAGCACGAGGTGAGGGGATCTAAGGAATCAGCAGAGAGAGACTGAGAGAGAAAATGGGGGTGAGGGCGGGCAAAGCAAAATTAGCGACGGAATTTTTTTTCTGTCGCAATATTTGCGACGGATTTTGTTTTCCGTCGCAAATTTTGAGACGGATTTTGTTTTTCGTCGCAAATTTGCGACGGATTTTTTTTTCCGTCCCAAATTAGCGACGAATTTATTTTTCGTCGCTAATTAGCGATAGATTTAGTGACGACCTTTTAAAAAAGAATTAAAAAATTCAAATTTTTACAAAAAAAAAATAAAAAATAATTAAGAAATTTGATTTTTTTAAAATAAAAATATTTAAAAATTCTTTTATTTTTTGGATCTAAAATAAAGTCATGAGATTGAAATTATTTTCCAATGAAATCCAAACATTAGAAAACGATTTCCATCGTATATCACCAAACGAATGAAAACTAAGCGTATTCATGGAAAATGATTTTCCGGAAAACACTTTCCTTTATCATTAAGTTTTCCGCAAAACAAACGTACCCTTAGAGTGATTACCAACTTCTCCTCTATCAAGTTTACCATATTGCATTACCAACTCCTAATTGAGTTACTTACCAATGTTTATTTTCATTTTTTTTCTACACCAACTTCTCTAATCTCTAACCAAACAAAGCTTCTGTCATTGTTTACGAACTTTTATTTACATTTTTTACCAATAATTTAAATTTACCGAGTATTATATGAAACTATCAGCCTAGCTTTCTTTGCGTGATTTGGGTAAATTTTCTCCAATCAAATCAATTAGTTTTGGATTACCAAATCTCATTTGAGTTATTAGCATTTATTTGTTATTTTCTCAAATTTACTAGCTTTTTATTAAGTTGCTATTTTTATTTGCATTGGTTTCCAACTTTTTAAATTTACAGGCTCTTTTAGAAATTACTAACTTTTATTAGAGTGATTACCAACTTTTTTCGATCAAGTTACTAACTAGTTTTATGTTACCTTCTTTTATTTGAGTTACTTACCAATGTTTATTTGGTTTTCTATTTTGAAATGACCGACTTTTCTTATCTCTAACAAAAATACATTTCTAATTTTCTACCAGCTTTGAATTTACCTTCTATTACATGAAATTATCAACTTTGTTGTGTGCCTCATTAACTTTTGCCCAATTAAGTTACCAATTAATTTTGGATTGTCAACTCTAATTTGAGTTGCTTACCCATTTGGTTTTTTAACTTACCAATTTTTATATTGAGTCATACTTCTTTTTGCATGACTTACTACTCCCATTTTACGATTTAATACCAATTAATTTTCTATTACTAACTGTTATTTTACTTAATTACTATCGTAAATTTGCGACGGAAAATAAAAATCCGTCGCAAATTTGCGATGGAAAAAAAATTCGTCACTAATTTGCGACAAATTTTTTTCCGTCGCTAAATTCGTCGCAAATTTGCGACGGATTTTTATTTTCTGTCGCAAATTTGCGACGGATTTTTATTTTCCATCGCAAATTTGTGTCCGATTTTATTTCTGGAGCAAATTTGCTACGGATTTTTTTTTCCGTCGCAAATTTGCGATGGATTTATTTTCCGTCACAAATTTGCGACGGATTTATTTTTCCATCGCAAATTTGCGTCCGATTTTATTTCCGGCGCAAATTTGCGACGGATTTTTTTTTTCCGTCGCAAATTTGCGACGGATTTATTTTCCATCGCAAATTTGCAACAGATTTATTTTTCCGTCGCAAATTTGCGACAAATTTATTTTTGTGTCGCAAATTTGCGTCAGATTTTATTTTCGGCGCAAATTTGCGAATTTGCGACGGATTTTTTTTCTCCGTCGCAAATTTGTGACGAATTTAGCGACGGAAAATAAATCCGTCGCTAATTAGCGACGGATTTATTTTCCGTCGCTAAATTCGTCGCAAATTTGAGACGATTAGCGACGGATTTTTTTTCCGTCGCAAATTTGCGTCTGATTTTATTTCCAGCGCAAATTTGCGACGGATTTATTTTCCGTCGCTAATGTGCGACGGATTTATTTTCCGTCGCTAATCTAAGACGGAAAAAAAAATCCGTCGGAAATTTCATCGCAAATTAGCGACGAAAAATTCCCCGTCGCAAATTTTCGTGGCAAAATTCATGTTTTTTTGTGGTGGACGTGGAAAGAGAAGAAAAGAAAGAAGTGGCTTAGGGTGAGTCAACGTGGCTTGATGGCCGACTGCATACATGCATGAGGGTGGTGTGCTGGGAGGAGTGAAGTGGAGGCGTGGAAAATTTTGAAGGGTGACTTAGATTAGGGAATCCCGCGGGATGATGGTGGTATGTTATTGGCGGAAGGAAATGATGATATGGAAAATGGGAAGAAGTTTATAACATGAATTCCGAGAAATGGAATTATCGTGCGTGAATTCAGTTGGAACGGTTAGTTCATAAGATGATGTTATGAACGGAAATACGGGTAATTATAGGATGGTCTTGCGGTGATTGTCATGACAATGGTATGGTGGTATCATAACAGCGTCCACGTCTTCCGAAGTTGACTCTTCTGTAGCTCGCCGCCAATTGTTCAATTTCCCACATAACGTTCCGTTACGTACGCTCGTCAAACTAAACGACGAAATTTTTGGGATGTCATAACTCTCCCCACCTCATGAAATTTCGTCCTCGAAATTTGGGTCCTTACTTGTTCCCTCAAACAATTGTGGGTACTGGAGTCTCATATCTTCTTCACTTTCCCACGTAGCCTCCTCATTATCATGGTACTGCCATAATACCTTAACGATAGGAATGGTTCTATTTCTGAGGATCCTTTCACTACGATCTAATATTCGTGCCGATTTCTCAATGTATTTTACCCTGGTATTGATATCCACCGTCTCAAAATCTAGCACATGGTTAGGGTCAGGTTCATACTTCCTCAACATAGACACATGAAATACATTATGTACATTGGAGAGTTTTGGTGGCAATGCTAACCGATATGCCAATTCTCCGATTCTCTCGAGTATCTCAAAAGGTCCTACAAATCTAGGACTCAATGTTCATTTCTTTCCAAATCTTGATATACCTTTCATTGGTGATACTTTCAGGAACACGTTATCACCCACTTTGAATTCTGAGGGCCTCCGACGTCGATCGGCATAGCTTTTCTATCGACTCTGACCCATTCTTAGTCTATCCCGTATTATTTTCACTATATCGATAGTGGCTTACACTAATTCTGGTCCTATCAATTTCCGTTCTCCAACTTCATCCTAACACATAGGAGTTCTATAGGCTCTCCCATACAATACTTCAAATGGAGCCATTTGAATACTTTTCTGAAAGCTATTGTTGTATGCAAACTCCACCAAAGGTAGCTTCTCGTCCCAGTTGCCTTTGAAGTCAATAACGCAAGCCCGAAACATATCCTCCAATATTTGTATTAGCCGTTCTGATTGTCTATCCGTATGAGGATGAAATGCAGTACTATATTGAAGCTTAGTCCCTAGAGCCACCTGGAGACTCTTCCAAAAGTTCAAAGTGAATCTTGTGTCTCGGTTTGACATGATGGTCACAGGTAGTCCATGCAATTGTACTATTTGCTTAACATATAAATCTACATACTTATCAAGTGAGTAGTCTATTCATACAGCTAGAAAATGAGCAGACTTAGTCAAACGATTTACAATCACCCGATGGAATCGTGACCACTTGATGTCCTTGGTAAACCTTGCACGATATCCATTGTTGTATGTTCCCATTTCCATTTGGGAATTTCTAAAGGTTTCAGCATTCCAACCGGTTTACGATGTTTTCCTTTGACTTGTTGACACGTTAAATACCTTGCGATATGTTTGGCTATATCGAACTTCATTCCATTCCACCAGTAATGTTGACAAAGATTATTGTACATTTTCATATTCCCGGGGAGAATACTCTAATTAATCCGATGGGCGTCCGTCAAAATTTCCCGCCTTAATTCCTCATTGTCAGGTACGCATATGCGTCCATGGAATTTCATGACTTCTTCCTCAGTGACGTGAAATTCTGATTTCTTTCCTTTCACGATTTCTTTCCAAACCTTTGAGATTTCGAGGTTCGTTTGCTGTAGTGCTTTAATTCTCTGTATAATTACAGGCTCAATTATCAGCGTAGCCAATACACGGGAAAGATCATCAATCTCAAGTTTAAAGTCAAATTTTGAAACCATCTCAAGTAAATATTATTCCTTGACCATCAGACTAGCTATAGTCAAAGCAGACTTCCAACTAAGAGCGTCTGCCACTTTATTTGCTTTTCCTGGATGGTATAGGAGTTCACAATCGTAATCCTTTAATAACTCCATCCATCTTCCCTGTTTCATGTTTAGCTCCTTCTGAGAAAACAAATACTTCAT